TGTGTATTGATCTATAATAAACTTATATGTGTGCATCAATCTATAAGAACTACTTATACGTGTGTATCAATCAATAAGAAATACTTCTCTGTGTGTATCAATCTATAATGATTATTTCTATGTGTGTATCAATCTATAATAAATATTTCATTGTGTGTATCAATCTGGAATACTTCTGTGTGTACATCAAACTGCAATGAATACTTGTGTACCTATCTATGATAACTATTTCTGTGTGTATCAAACCACAATAAATATTTCTATTTGTTATCAATCTATAACAAATATCTCGATGTGTGTACCAATCTATAATAACCATTTCTATGTGTGTATCAATCTATAATGAATACTTCTGTGTGTGTATCAATCTATAATAAATATCTCTCTGTGTATTGATCTATAATAAATACTTACATGTGTGTATCAAACTATAAGAAATACTTTGTGTATTAATCTATAATAAATGCTTCTATGTATCAATTTATAACAAATATTTCTTTGTGTGTACCAATATATAATAAATACTTCTCTGTGTGTATCAATCTATAAATATTTCTATGTGTGTATCAATTTATAACAAATATTTCTATGTGTGTATCAATTTATAACAAATATTTCTATGTATGTATCAATCTATAATGAATACTTCTCTGTGTGTGTGTATCAATCTATAATAGATATTTCTCTGTGTGTACCAATCTCTAATAATTATTTCTATGTGTGTACCAATCTATAATAAATATTTCTTTGTGTGCATCAATGTATAATAAATATTTCTATGTGTATATCAATCGATAGTAAATACTTCTGTTTGTGCATCAGCCTATAATAAATATTTCTATTTATATAACAATCAATAATAAATATTTTTATGTGTGTATCAATCTACAGTACATATTTATATGTATGTATCAATCTATAATAAATATTTCTATGTGTGCATCAATCTATAATAAATACTTCTGTGTGTGTATCGATCCATAATAAATACTTCTATGTGTGTATCAAACTATAATAAATACTTTGTGCATCAATCTACAATACTTAGGTTTGTACAGCAAACTAAAATAAGTACTTCCATTTGCGTATCAATCTATAATAAATACTTCTGTGTGCGTACCAATCTATAATAAATATTTCTTTGTGTTTACCAATCTATAATAAATACTTCTGTGTGTGTATTGATCTATAATAAATATTTCTGTGTGTACCAGTCTGTAATAAATATTTCTGTGTGTACCAATTGATAATAAATATTTCTCTGTGTGTATCAGTCTGTAGTTACTATTTCTATGTGTGTATCGATCTATAACCACTTTGACTTGTGTATCACACTGTAGTGTTTGCCCATCAGTCAGTAAGAAGTAACTCCACCTGCAGCACTCACCGTTGTCTGGCCCCTGAAGTTTCATAGAGTACAGCTTGACAGGCTGGCTAAAAGCTACAGTGATGAGCAGCTGTGGGGGGAAGCGAGCACAGTTACACACGGGTGTCACACAGTTGCACACCCAGCACACGGGGCTGGGCAGCCCTGGAACACAGCAACAAATGCTGTGCTCACTGCCCCTGAGCGCACTCTGGCCCTTTCCCCCCAGCTCACACTCCTGTGCCAGGCCACGCTCAGTGGGGAAAGCGCGGGCACCCCCAGCCGTGTACCCAGGCCTCCTGCGGGCTGCCAGCCTGGTGGGAGCACATCCCGGGATCACAGCAATCCCTGGAGCTGTGGCAGCACAGCCCTGCAGGAGAACACCCCGGGAATGCAGCAATCCCTGCAGCTGTGGCAGCACACCTGCTCGTCGCAGTCGGACTCCAGGTAGGAGGAGTCCTTGCGCAGGCAGTTCTCGAAGCCATGCTCGTCGCTCTCATTGAGGCACTCGCAGCCAGCCTTGTTGATGAAGGGCAGCAGATCCATCTGGGGACAGAGAGCACAGCTGCTCACAGCTGGGACAGCACAAAATTCATTTCAATGACTAGGGACATTCTTCATCCTTAATAACCACGTATATGTCAATATTTACATTTTTTCTGGAAAATAAAGCCCAGACAAATTATTTTCTTGGGCAGCTTTGCCTAAAATCCAACTCTTTGACTTCAAGCACATTTGAAAACCAGGGTTTTTTAACACCTGAGCTGCACGAGCACTCCAACAAAGCTCTGGGGAGATACTCACGTATCCTTTGGGAATGTCTGTGTCTTCGCTGTTGCCGGGATCGTTCTCCAGGTGCTGTTTGATTTTGTCTTCCAGGCCCACAGCATCTGCTCCCTGGTACTGGTCGATCCGCACCTTGTTCCGGAAGAACAGGAAGGTGGGCGTTGCTGAGATGTTGTTGGTGGCAGCCGTGCCCTGGGAGCAGACACCAGACTCCATTCAGTGCTTTAGGTCAGTCCCACTGCACCACTGCAGCCAACTAGCCCCACTTCTTCACGTTTGCCTTTAATTCCCACTAGCTAAACCCACCAATAAATGCACATGCTCATGTTTGCCTTTACCTCCCACAAGTGCTGTGTTCCATGGCTAAAATATTATTTTAGCAGGGGCTGGGAACCAACAAATCAATGAATAACTGCACTTTTACACTGCTCAAAGGAAGGGCAGCACAGTGGCACTGCAGGAATATTTCCTCCTAGGAGGGATTTGTTTTCCCAGTTTGGGAGAAGTCACTGTCACAGCTCCTGTGCTGCAGCAGGCACGGCGAGAGGCATGGACACTGCTGGAGCCTTTCCCAGCTCCCCATTCCCTGGTTTTCCTTTCCCATCCTGCTCAGGACACCACTGCAGCCTTTCCCTCCCTGTTCCCTGGCTCCCCAGCAGCAGGAGGCCCTGGAGCCCACACCTGGCACTGGTGCACGTCCACCTCCAGGAATGTTGCCTGAGGGTATTTGTTACTCAGAGCGCTGAAGGCGGGTGCGATCCGCAGGCAAGGGCCGCACCTGTGGGAAAAGTGACACTTCCACTTAATTCCACTTTTGGTTCCTTTTTCAGTGCCTGGCCCAAACGGAACCAGAACGTTCCTCTCTTCCTGATACCCTGCTGTAAAAACAGCCTCTCTACCTGCAGCCAGCTGGGGATACAATGCAAGGTGACATTTGGGAATCTGCAATTTATTGCCTTTATTTGCAACATTTTTACCACAGACCTGCTCAACAAAGTGTGACAAAGGAGGGCAAAATGAGCAAAAAAAATACTATTAACAAAAAACCACTATCATTAGTTCATGCCACCTCCTTGGAAAAAAATTATATTCACACATAACTTAAATGTTTAATGGTCAACATGTATCAAAGCTTCATGGATTATAAAATTGTTCCCACAATAAATCTCATTTACACCTGAACCAGTTATTCTCATATTTATTTGGTTCTGAGAGGACATAGCTGGTTTCTTTTAATTTATTTGCATTGCCTCATATGAAAATTAGTATCTTTTACTTATTCTGCGTCAGCAAAAATGTATGAAGTGCTCAGCTGCACCAATTCCTGTAAAGGGAGTTTCTCACTGGGAAAGGGAAAAGAAAAGTGAAATAAAAAACCCCGACATAGAAATTGGCAAAAAAACCCCCACAACTAAGAGGCAGCAGCCAAAAAAATAATGAGGTGCCCTATGAACCCCCAAATCCCCGGGATTATCACTATTCTCCCCAGTTTCACAGATTAAAGGGAATGATTCAGATATGTAGGTTCATTTGGTGACAAATTCATCCCGATTTCACCACAGCTGCACCTCCCTGCTGAGGACGGAAAAGAGAAAATCCACTTATCGTGGGCAAATGGGGTACGGATGCAGCCAAGTTTTATGGGGCAAAAGGTGTTTTTCCAAGTTTTAAGGTGTTTTTAGTGCTGTCCGTGCCTCGCTTCCGTCATTTTCGTGCCCTTTAAGGGGCTGTAAACCAGCGCAGCCCCTGCTCCCTCAGAGCGCCGGAGGGCTGGCGGGGCGCGGGCGGCGGGCTCGGCGGGAAGAACGGGAATTTATTCCGGGAGCTGGGAACGGGGTGCTACAAATCACACAACTTCTAAAGGCGCCGATGCCGAGACCGCCCTGACGCGTTACGGAGCGCTCCTCACGCCGCGAGCCGCGCCGGAGAACCCCAATAAAAGCACGGGAACAGCGGAGCCCTTCCCGGGAGCCTGAGCCGCACGCCGCCCTCACTCACCCCCTCATGGTGAACTTCACCACGGCCAGGCGGGAGCCGGCGGCGCTCAGCTCGGGCTGGAACTCGGTGTCGTTGGCGATCACCTTGACGCCCGCCATGGCCGCGGGCCCGGTGGCGGTGCCGGGTGCGATGTGCAGCGTCACGGCGGGCAGGCCGCCCGGCATGCACCGCTGGGGCCGCACGGGCGCAGGCGCGGCCGCTCCGCTCCGCTCCCGCCCGCCGCCGCCATCTTTGGAACGGGCAGGCCGTGAGGGCGCGACGCCCCCCGGCGGCCATTTTGGGAACGGGCAGCCCGTGAGGGCGCGACGCCCCCCGGCGGCCATTTTGGGAATGGGCAGTCCGTGAGGGCGCGACGCCCCCCGGCGGCCATTTTGGGAACGGGCAGCCCGTGAGGGCGCGACGCCCCCCGGCGGCCATTTTAGGAACAGGCAAGCGCAGGAATTCTCTGAGGCGAGATGCGCCTTTAGATTTTAACATAAAAATTTAATACTGGTTTCGTCATAAACTCGTTTTTTGGTGACGCCAAAAGGGGGAAATAAAAGATGAGTGCTTGTAATAACTACAAAATAAAACCAAAATTAAACCCGGGACTTTCTCTGACTCCATTTGCAGCGTCATTCCTGACAATTTCCCAACGTACTTTATAACACAACATCATGTCACTCCAAGCTGTCTAATATTCCCGCTTTTCCCAGCAAAGACCAGAAATACCGCCGCCATTCTGCCCCCGCCTGCTGCAATTGAAAAGCCTTGCAGCAATCGGTAATTAATTATGAATTGTCACCGCGCAATCACCCGCTCCTGGCGCGCCCTCAGCGACCCCAGCAGTTTCCACGGCGGCGGCGCCTGCCGTCAAGTGCGCCGGCCGCAGCTTTGCGCCAGTGTCGCGGGGCGCGGTGGCACCCGGCCGCTGCCGCAGCGAGCGCGGCGGGGGGACACGTGAGGGCCGGGAAGGGACCGAGACCGGGACAGGCACCGGCACCGGCACCGGCACCGGACAGGTGCGACCTGGGGCGGGGAACGGCAGGGCGAGCCCGCGCCAGGCCCCGCAGCACCCGCGCCGGCAGCGCTGAGAGGCTGCGGCACGGGAGGCGCGGGGAGCCCGGGCATCCCGGGACACACACGGGGACACCGGGACGCGCTCGTAACGGAGCAGGGTTGGGTTTGGGATCCCGGCAGGGTTCACGCAAAGCCAGCAGCAGGTTATTAATGATGGAGCTTTCCGTGCTGCTAACGGGGCCTTGGCTAAGGGAGGCTCCTGGCAGGAACTGATCCCCTTGCGGGCCTGAACACCGTTTAATGTCGATTTTGTGCTGCCTCGCCTTTCCCCGCGCCAGGCGCGGTGCTCTTGGCACCGGGATGGGTTTGGGGTGCTCCAGCTGCTGGGCATAACTGTCCTTGGTGGCAGCCTGAGCCAGGAAAAAATCGTGTGCCTTCAGCGTGCCATCAAGCGCGGCAGCAGCAGAACCTGCAAGTGCCTTCCAGAGGCGCCCGATACCTCCAGCCCCGTGTCCCAAATGAGCGTTTTGTGCCCTGCTGCCTTTGGAACCTCCTGCATACCCAGGGGAGGTGTTCCCGTTGTGTTCTCCCTCCCTCGGTGCTCCCTTTCTCCGTGCCTAAGTAATAACTGGGAAGTCTAAGCTGCCATTGCATTTAAAGTCATTAGCTTTTTCTAAAATGTACAAATAGCCCATATATTAAACTATTTAACGCTATTTAGTACTATTTCTTGGTATTTTGGGGGCAGATTATTGCAGTGTGCACACACATCCTGAGATTAATTCCTTCCTCAGTGGAAGTACAAGTGTTTGGGAAGAGTTACTGAGGTGGGCTCACTTTCGTTTCACCTCTTCCTCCAAGGGATTTGCGCTTTTGTGGCTGTAAAAGTCCATGGTGAGGATTTCTGGGTAGGGGGGATTTCTGAAAAGGGGCTTAGTTGAGTTGTGGATTCAGAATTTAATTCCTTGTACTTGAAAAATCACTTTAGTGGCTTTACTGAAATAGGAATTGATCCGGGATTATTCAGTGTGCCTAAGTCCCACCTTCAAGCAGAGCAGTCACTGGATTATTCTGTCAGGTTAACACATTATTTAACTTTTCAGTTTGTTTGTTCATTTCCTCATTTAAATAATTGCTTTCTGTTGAAATATTTTAAAAATCATGGTTTTGGGAAGGTGTTTTTTTCCACATGCCTGCATTTGTTCTGTCGCGTGTTCCCTGCATTTATTTCGTGTCTAAGATTAGAATTATTTCTGTATTATTATTATTTGGAAGGTTTTATGTTAGGAAATGTCAAGTGAAGGCAGTAAGCGCAAGGATACGTGTACATGGAATAACAGGACAGCGTGCGGTACTGTGTTTGGGAAGGAAAACCAGGGGTTTGGCACTTGTGGCTAGAGAGAAATTCCTTTCCTCCAGGGAGTACAGGAAGAGCTGTACTTGTGATCTCCATTGCCATTCCAAGTTCCCTTTTCTGTAGGAAGCAGGCTTTGGGGCGCTTGGGAGTGGCTGCAAGGCGGCAGCTGGGGTGCAGTGGTTGCCTGCCTGCTTTGGGCCCCTTGGCCACTGGGACAGCGTCGATTCGCTCCTCTACTTTGTCAGCACTGATGTCAAAAAATGGAATTATTGATTGTTTTCAGACAAAAAGGGATTTTGGTGCTGGCAGGGGCTGCACTTGGTGTTTGCTGGGGCTGAGCTCTGGAATCCAAAATCCTGGGGAATTAAAATGTGGTTTTTCCTGAAGAGGAAGTTTTTTATGAAGGCCTTGCGCTGCCACAGTCAAAGACTGGAAGGAAAAAGGTAGTTTTTCTTTCTCCTCTCTTTCCCAGGGCCTTGCTATGAAATACTCTGTATGAGAACTGTGTTTGAAGTGGGGCTGTCAGGGGGGTTGCTAATGTGATTTCTGCATGGGAAATCTGGAATCTCTTAGGATAGTTATGTGCTAATGCTCTTGTATGTTGTAGTATCCTCCTGTATGTTCCTTTTGAAAATTCCCTTTATTCAGAGCGGTGTGGGTTTGGAAGTGTTCAGGAGTGGCTTTAAATGCAGAATTGTGAAATGCAGGAATTCTGTGCCCCAGTAGGGGATTTCCTGGATTTATTAAAGAAGGCAGCTGTTTCTGACAGCTAGGTGACACAGGAACACTGTGACTTGTCCCCTGAACTGTAGGGCAGCAGAGGAGTGGGGAGGGATTTTTGTGTTGCTTTTTTGGTGGTTTTCAGCTCTGGTTGAGTCATTTGTGGTTTGTTTCCTCACAAAAATAGAGTGGGTATTTCTGTTTGCTGTGGGTGTTTTTGTTCTAGTTATTGATATTTGCATTTTGTTCTGTTGCATCTGGACACTTTATTCCTGCCTTTATTCCATTTTTATGATGATTTTCCTGCTAATCAAGCCCAGTTTAATTGTAGCTCTTTGTTTGTCACCCTGTTGTTTAAAATGCTGAATTAATTTCTCTTTCTGTGTTGTGATGGTCTAGACAGAGCAATTGATCCAGCATTGCATAACAATTAACTCTGCAGGGCCAGGTGTGGTTTGCAGTGTGGAGAAGGACTGGATTTTTGGGCTTTATTGATCCTGATCGTTACATTCGAGCTCTTAATTAAGTCGCTTTTAAGGAAGGTGGGCCAGTGGGCTTCCAGAAATGAGCTGCTTCACTGGGAGGGGTCGCTGGATGTGATATTAGTGATTTTGTGATGTGGATTTTGTGCAAACCCCCCAATTGATCCCTGCCTTGCCAGGAGCCTCCCGGGAGCTGCATGTAATCCTTAGCCATTCATTAGCCTGCCCTTGCTCCCTCCCTCTCCCCTTTTTTCCACGGACACAGCCGTGTTCCAGTTCTCTGGCTGCACTCATCACATGGCGTAACAACTCCTGTGGTTTTCCCCGGATAGGAAATGACAGGGGTTTCTGTTGGGATAGATCGGGGTGCTGGCACAGGTTGTGCAGGGAAGCTGTGGACACCCCGTCCCTGCTAGTGTCCAGGTTGGAGTGACATTTATTTTTCTGTCATAATTCAGATTTATTACCTCTAAAGTGCTGCTAAACAGGTTTACACACCAGTTAAAACTCAAGGTAGCTATTAAATAGTATATAACAGTATACAATAGTATATAGCTATTAAAAACCTCACAAAACCACACATATTTTAAAACAGTTCTCCCATGAATCCTGCCCGTTTTGTTGGTCCTCTAAACCAGAGCTCTGGTTTGAGCTGGGGTGAGTTCAGAGCATAAACGTCCACAAGATAATCCACAAGGAGTGTTTGGTTGTTAATTTAACACGACTTTTCCACCGATAAGAAACCCTCAGTTCTAAAAGCAGGGAAGTGCTCAGCAAGCTGGGAATGTTGCTACCACAAACAGAGGGTTGTTGTGGGGTTTAAATCTTGTGCAAATTCAAGTGGGTTTTATTGCCACAACTTGAATTTCCATTCCCAGTCACTGAGACCGTTTTGGCCTGGGGACAACTGAAATTCTACCGTGTTTTTTGTGTCAATACGTTCGGAAGATCCGAAATGTAAAGATAGTGCTGAACCTATTTCCTGCTGGAGAGTGGCCAGGATCCACTTTATCAGTGGATTATACAAGGCTAATTTCACCTAAGGCAGGATATTCCACATTCCAACATGACTGTCTGTGTAGCAGGGACATAACAACATCAGGGGTATAAAAACTGCCTCAGCCTCAGGCCTTAAAACATATGTAACTTCAAAATTACTCTAAAAAGAGGCATTTGGGCAAGAATCCTTGTGTGCACAGGGATGTGCTGTTTAGCCCCCACCTTTTACTCCCCTCCTTCTTGGTTTGAAGGATAATATTTTGGATTTTGGGAGACTGAAGCCTCCCCCTGCCACCCCCATAATGTAAATAAACATCATCATTGCCTCCTACCTGGGGGGCCATGTCTGTCTGTCCATCCGTCTGCTGCAGCCCATCTGCTTCATCCTGGGATCCCCCAAATGTGAGGGGAAAATGTCGGGAAACGTGAGGGGAAAAGGGCAGGAAACATGAGGGGAAAAGATAGCGAAAACATGAGGGAAAAGAAGAGGAGACATGAGGGGAAAAGATGGCAAAAAAAAATGAGGTAAAAGAGCAGGAAACATGAGGGGGAAAGATGGCAAAAACCTGAGGGGAAAAGAGAAGGAAACATGAGGGGTAAAGGTGGCAAACAT